ATCAACTTGCGTAAGTGGCCCATTGTCAATAGTCTCAATTGGTCACAGTGCCTGACCATAGGGTGAGTTCCCACGTTGACTTGACCCGGTAATTTATTGGCCCCTGCACTTCACCTTAACTACTTTACCTGGGACCGCAGGTGCGTCTTAAGAAACCAGGGTTGACTAACCTTTTTTTTATTATAATAGCAATGCCGTTTTTGGACTTGTTGTGTATTGTTTTAGACATCTTTCTGTATAATATAACCTATTATTATTTTGATTACTAATAAAAACAAAAAAATTGAAGTTGATAAAATAATTATTCTGTACAAATAATCTCTAGACATAATTGCATTTGTAAGCACCTTAGTATTTACAAGTGAAATTTTTTGAAATAAATTAGTTAAATAATACAGGTCTTATTTTATTTATTTAAAAGACCTTCAGTAGTTTGCTGTTTCCTTGTATATTACGCGATATGTTTTCCAGGACTGAAAAGGACTATAAATTGTAAATAAAACAATAATGTAATTGTTTTCTTTTACTTATAATAGTAGTATATTTTAAATCTTTTATCACTGTAACTAAGAACAAAATTATTAATGTCCGTCTCGATTGGCAAAGACGAAAATTGCAAAAAAAAAAAAATTGTTCTTTCGCGGTCGCAGCCCTGTGATCACTCACCGTGCGATGTTGTGTGATTTTCTTAAGACTTGGACACATGAGGTCATAGTTAAATAAGTAAAAACTTAGGTGGGGCGTTATGGGAACTGAGCACAGTAACATCACCGTATAATGTGCAGCAAGCTTTACCGAACCGTAGTACAGCACTTTGGAATAAATTATCATCTCTTAAAAGATGGATAATTATGTTTTTAGTGCTGTTCACATTGTTTATGGATTATGTTTTTTTTTTTTATGTGAGATTAAGATTTTTTGTTGAATTTCTTTTTATATTCAGTTCAGAGTTCGAAACTATTAAAATTCAAATTAATACGTCTTTTATTTTAAATAGCATAGTTTTATGAGAATTATATTTAGAGATTGTAATGAAAGGAATAAATCCAAACATCATTATCATTCCCTCAGCCATTATCTGCCTATTGCAGAATATATATCTCTTTCATAGACTGCCATAAGGATTTTTTTTTTAAACAACTTATAATGACAAACAAGCTGACGGCCCACCTGATGAAAAGTAACCGTCGCCTATAGACATGAGCAGTACCATGGACATCACAGAGTATACTGTTTCGCCCATGATAACCCCTATGCGTTGTCATTCCTGAGGACTCAGGTGTTATTCCTCTGTACCCAGTAAATTCACGCCATATCCCACCCTTCAAACCGAAACACAGCCATGCAAACACAACTGCTTTACGGTTGAAACACGAATGGAACAGAGGTACTCAGACAGAGGAATGGTTCTAAGCCATCAATAAAATAAATAATCACAAATAATTTATAATTTTTACATTGTTTATGGTATTCTTTGAAATAATCGATCTATTTGAACATCTAAAAGAAAGAAAGCATAAATAAATATTAGCTGTGGTCCCGGCATAGAATAGGCCACTCCTTCTTATCCCGTGGGTGTCGTAAGAGGCGACTAAGGGAGAGCGAGAGATGGGCGGCAGCGTCCTTTTTCAAAACATCTCTAAAGCCTAACTGCGGTTGCAAATCTGCCTACCAAGTATGGCAATTACTGGCAAAACTTCCTAAGGGGAGGCTTACATTCAGGAGTGAACGGTTAAGGGCTGATATATATTATGATGATAGTCATCTAGTCATAAACTAAGCACAGTATATATTATGTTTGAAACGAATGTATTTATGGAAATTTGTTACACATAAATTTATGATATAGATTAAAATACAATATAATACATACTCTATTTAACAAAAAATAAATATTATTAATAATATAGAAGAGTGTTACAATTGTATTACATAAAAGCCATTTTTGGATCTAATTTAATAGAAATATTTACTCAAATATTTTCTTACAAGTCAGAGACGTATGTACAGATAGAATAAACAAAAAAATTGAATGTTTCAATTAAAAATTCATAGCATAAGATACCTACTACAAATTTCAAGCATTATACATGGGCATCAAAGCCATATTTACGTGTAAAACGCACTTATCGTATGTCTTACAAATAAGTATTGTTCAATCAGCATATATAAATATCAATTGTAACTTAGTATATTATACTTTAAAAGCAATACTTTATATATTACACCTTTTTTAAGTTTATTACAAAAACCTGTCAATATCACACTTGAAATGATTATAATTCATACATTTTTTACTTATCTCCAACTGAAAGGGGAAGTCGCAATAAAATGTATGAAAATAATGATTCAACAGCGAACCGAACTGTCAGAAGCGTAACCGATCTCCATTTTGTATGGTCATATATGCACTTACCGCTTTTTACAATTCATTTCTCAGCTTGAGAATATTTAATATTTCACATTCCTATACGTTTTTACTTGTGCCCTTTGTATATTTAAATTAAACTACATTTGAGGTAACGATCCCTTATATTTCAAATAGTTTTTATCAATTTGCATTTTTAAGAATTTCTTACACTTCGAGTACTGTGGAGGTATTTACAATTGCAGGAATAAAAAGCGGTCAACACTTTATTCTGAACATAAGGAGTGTCTCTGGGAAAGTTTATTTTTATGTAACATAAGGGTCTGCATAATCTTTCAAAAAATTTAAAAGTATATTAATATTTACTAAACGATAATATTTAGAAAACATACGTGCATAATAAACGTAACTTTTAAATATATTTGCTTTGTAGTTAACTTGTTAGTTTATTACGGTTGAAACTGCTTTTTGAACTAGACAGTAGAATCAAATATATCTAAATACTACACACAACAACAGTACACAAACTATTAAAAAACATTATATACATTGACTTTCTAGCAAAATTGTCTAGTTGCGTTCTAAATACTTGTATATGAAATTCTATTGTGAATGATAAAAAACACACATAATATCTACTTGTATCAGCCATGAACTGGCTACTGTGCATAGGCCAAGGGGAATTTTGCCAGTAGCTTTGATAATTTCTTAAGAGGGGTACTGCTGCTCATTCCTCGAACATTAAGTTCTCTTAGTCGCCTCTTACAACAACTACGGGAAAGCAAAAGGTATACCTACTCAAAAATGTCATAAACTTGTAAAGAATTCAGTACCACAATAAAATATTCACTTACATAATTTTCACAGTGAAAAACATAATTTTATAGGTAGATAAAACTTACTAGGATGTACGAGTCGTATGAATTATTACTAGAAAAACTGTAATAACTCGCCCCATTGTTTTTCCATCAAGGATAACGTGTTTTTTTTTATAGTTTCGTAAATAGTTCGCGTTGCATGTAAGTTTCCGTGTTTGTGCAAGGCAAAAGGATTTAATGGCATTGCACACCATCAGTTACGATATATTTTCAATGTACTATAGAAATGTGACTAGCTTTGTCTTTTACGTGACAGTCACGCGGAATATTCACTAATATTATACCTACTCATACATTTTGGATGAAGCTTCGCTAACTGTACTAGCCACGACTCACACGTACAACGGCTCAAATGAGAGGCTTAGTGCGGAAATGAGAGGTGAATTTACATTTTACTCATAAATTTGACCAATTCACCGAACGCGTCACCGATTTTTTATATCGTTAGGATATTGTAAGTGGTAACAAAGCACAATATGTCCAGCAATGAAACATAGGAATATTTCTAACTAATATGCACTGGCCGTATGCTCCTGGTATAAAATAGATCACTTCTCTTCATCCGTGGGTGTCGAAAAAGGTGATTAATAGGACATAATGGTTGAGGGATGGGCAGAAGCGTCCCACTTAAAACATTATCAAAGCAAACTGCGGTTGCCAACCCGCCAAGTGTGGTAACTGTTGGCAATACCCCTATGGGGAGCTAAATTCAGCAGTAGAGAGTTAATGGCTGATATTATCATCATCAATAGGCATTGTAATATCTACGGCGAGACAGAGTTACTACAAAAAGGTATCAATCGTTCCAATTATTAGAATCCAATAAAAACCTTGCATGCTCTGCTACTATTGATTTTTTTACTGTTGCGTGTTCATACTGATGTACTGTAATCCGATAAATACGTAAATAATTCAGAAACAATATGTTTACTCCGCTTTATTTCCTATATATTTACATATTTAATGGTCTGTCAACGTGCTTCTTTTTTTTTGAAATGGTGACTTTCAAAACTTTTCCATTAAATTATATTAATAGTAAGATCCGAAAAAAATTTTTGTTTATACCACTGAGGTAGTAAACAAGTGTACGGCCCAAGTGTGTAAGCGGTTACCGTAACTTATGAACTACTGCAATACCTGGGTCTTTACGCGTGCGTCGCCGACCCTGAAGAAACCTTTTTACTCCTTTTTTGTCTTGGAAAAACCTCAACAGGGAGTTCTTTTCATAATCTGAGCGTTTATGGGAGGAAGTATCTCTAAAACCGCTACTCAACCATTTTGACTCGATGGTATGGAGGTGAGCTCCCTGTCAGTGGCATACTACTATGTACTATGGTAGAAAGCCTATTCATCATTCACAGTTCATTGTACCAGCAATAAAACATACATATGTGAACACACACACATATATATAAATATAAATAAATCTTTAAACTTTTGCAATTTCTTGTAAAGCCTACAAATAAATTTTGTTTTACAACAAGAAGTTTCTTACTCCGTAAACTAAGAAAATGATAACTTCAATTTAGACGAGAGTAAAGTGTTCATTCGGTCCGAATACGTCCGAATCGAGACCCTCCTTCTTTGGGAAGTCGATTGAAAAAAGCACGGACGAATCAAGAAATTCTTCCTTTTAGAAGTCGCTCAACTAAATTGTAAGACGAAGTTGTACTCGTAATGTAACTAAATAAAAGTTTTTATTTAATTAGCATTCAGAATGACTGTACTTGGACGTAATGGTAAATTCCACGTACCTTTATATGCGTCATCCTATGGTAATACAGGTTCGAACTGGCTGTAAATCTTTTGCCACAGTGTTGACATTGGTGTGGTTTTTCTCCTGAGTGTATCCGTCTGTGTGTATTGAGACTGCTCGATGTGCTGAAGCCCTTATTGCAGACCATACACACGTGGGGTTTTTCACCTAAAACAAATTCATACATAATAGTTATATTTGAAAACACAATTCTTCAAACCACTTATACCCGTTTCACGTGTTTTTAATAAAATGAAGTTTTTTTTTAAATCGGTTAATTATTTTTTAAAGCTTATCTATTACAAACAAAAAATCTAATTTTTCCTGTTTATAATATTAATTTATTCGTAAATGTCGTAAGAAGCGACTAATACAACTTAATAGTCGAGGGATGAGCAGCAGTGTTCCTCTTAAAGCACCATTAAAGCCTAACTGCGGGTGCCATCACGCCTGCCAAACGTGGTAACTATTAGCAAACCTTCCTTACGTGGGAGGTCTATGTTCAGTAGTGGACAGTTAACGGTTGATATGATGATAATGATGACGATATTAATTCATATTCAGAATAACCTCTTATTTTTTATATTAAGATTTGTTTAATTACCAAGTACCTAAAAACTTAAATCAATAATAAAAGTAACAAATTACACATCTCAATAATCCGTAAAACAAGTAGCGAGAAAGTCGAATTACAAATATTATGCAACGTGTAAAAACAAATTAAAATGAGGATGCCATAAAAGTACTTGGCGTAGATATTATTGATGGACGTAGAGAAAATTGTTGCATTTTAATTAGAACTTACATAATAACTAGAGCTGTATTTAAAAAAGCTATATAATGAATGATTTCAATAAAGAAACATTAATCTTTATCTGCCTATCTAATTAAACATGTTTGTATAATCGTATTATTATTATGCATATCGTTATCATCATCCTTTTTTCATTATTTAACATTAGCTTGTTGCTAAAGTTATGTTTGACTTTCATTATTGTCAATAACAGGCCATATATATTTTTTTATATTTTTTATATTATTTTAACCAAACTCGAAATAGGCTTATATTTCTATTGTTCCATTTAGTGGCTCTTCTACCCTAGTTTTCTAAGCTTTTTCAATTTAAATTCCATTCGTGATTTCCCTTGGGGTTCATAATTATGACTTGATGAAATCAGACATTACTATTATATTGTTAACTAGCTGCATCAAGCGACTTTGAATTTTTATATATTGTGTAACGTATTATGTGTATTAAAGTAGGACATAACCTATCCGTATATTAATTTTTATTCAACTCCATTTAGCTATTTAATTGATATTAGATAACAAACTTGCAAACATCTTTATTATCTTTCAAATTTGTCATATTAGTAGGATAATTTTACCTGTATGTGTTCTCATATGTCTCTTTAGAAGTGAAGGCCTATCAAAAGCCTTTCCACATACTTCGCAAGGCAATAACGCTCTTTCGGACTTTGCTGGTCGTCTCTGAACCTTTGGTGTCATTTCTAGGAGTTCATTCGATGATCCGGCCGACGATGATGTCAGTGAATCACCTGATACTGATTTATGTTCATCTTCGGGTCCAGATGGTGGTGATATTGGTAATAAAACTCTTGACAGAAGTGATGTGGATAAATCTAATGGTGAATCTGTAAAAGAAATTTTCTAGTTAGAATTGTGTTCTATAAAAGATAAGATTGTCGTGTAAGTAGCAACTAACAGCATTATTGTATAATCAAAGAACGAAATGAATCTGGTTTTTTTTACACCTAAAATAGTAATCTATATTACAACAAAAAATAATCTTATGCGTGGAAATGTTTCGTTTATTTTAAGTCTAAGTAACAAAATACGAGTACCTACTCCTTTCCACTTTGAGTTTACTGGAAGAGTACTCTTGCAGAGTTAAGCTCGCCATTGTGCATTTGCTTTCCAATGTCATATTTTTTTAAATTTATTATTGGTGTGTACAAAAAAGTACAAAAAAGTATTTTTTTTATATTCTAAAATAATAATATTAACTGAATATTGCTTTCAGTAATAAAAGCACATTGTTGCATTCATATTAGTTGTATGTATAAGAATACTGTTATTATTATGCAAATATAAAATGAGTCATGTTAAGAAAGCATATCCTCTTTCTCTCTCTTTATCTAAAGATCAAGGATTAGATAAATAGTATAAAGTTTGCAAGATATGACTATGTATATTAAATTAATACTAAACTCGTATATAGTGTAATGATATTATATTGCAATAAAAGAAAAAATAGGAGAAACAGAAAAGAAAACGATTAATAACATCATTGTAATTATAGAAAATTTACAATTAATCTCGCATATAGAAAACTAGCGTAGAAAATGACATTCCGTATATAGCAGACCTACTCGTTACAGATATATACATACTTTCAATGTAGGACCTTTATCGATCTTAATTCTTTTAACAGGTTATGATAAAAAACAACCTTATTTTGGCCACAACAAAATATCAGTATTTTGTTCTTTTGAGGGCAAAGTAATAAACTAAGTAGTGACCATTTTGTTTCACTATGGCACACGCACAAAAAGAAAAATTGTAGCTTCATTTACGTATTTTGTTTTTTTTTTTTGTTTCATAAGATTATTATTGCATGATTAACGTTTTTGTTCGATAACAGAAAAATCTTTAAACAAACAATCAAAAACGTTGAAATATGTTAAATTATTTTGAATATTGACAAATAATTTAAAAGTTGTCACACGTCAATCAAGTATATTTAGAGCAGTCATTCAGTTTCATGATCATTGAAATTGTATAGTTGATTTTATTGTGTTATTTTAATTATATTGTGCAATAAAAATCCGATAAATTAAAATAGACAATATTCATAAGACCATATTTATACTACACTACTTATATTCAAGCTTTATGGTTATTAACAGCTAGAGATAATAACTATGAACTTATTTATCCAGATCAAATTATTGACATTAAAATCTAGATGCAATCAAGCTAAATTTAATGGTCCGATATTTTACAGCCGTAAATTTTGTTATGGAATTCTAGACAGTTCACGTTTATTATAACCCGTCTAAGAATTTCCATCTTAATTAATATTTCTCTGTCGGTCTTTATCGGGATCGTATGTACTTTACCGAGATTTTGCAAAATCCCTACAATGTTCTTAATTATTAGATTTACTATAAATCTTGTTAAACGCTGTCACAAGATGTCGAGGATTAATTAGTTTCTGCATGTTTCTATCCTAGAACCTCGTTTAAGTACTTCTGTGCTCTAAGGATGTTTATAGTATATTTTCTAGATCTTCGGATAGGTAATTCTAGATAAGACGCGGCGACTGGACAGATGGTTGGACGATAGTATCTTTCGCTAGTTGCCTGTCTGCGCTTCGTTTTGCCTACTCTATTTGTTATAGTCCAGGCGAATGATTTGTTACTTATACTATTTTTGTTATAATTAAATTCAGTATATGCACATATGGAGTGATTTAAATTGATTTCTGGTCGAGATTTTATTTTAAGATTAAAGTGATTTCAAATTGGTAGATATTGTTAATATTATAAAATAATTCGAATTTAGGTCACTAAAAAGGTCTACACAATGAAATCAAACAAAAGGAATTGTTAAATAAAGTGAACTAAAGGTGAGGTAAATTAAACATATATTTAAATGTTTTTTATTAATTACTTCAATATCTATACTAATAATATAATCTATACTATAGTAATTATTATTTATTAATTAATAATGTTTATATTAACTATAATTTTACAGTCCTACATAGTATATACTGTGATATTATACCGGATATCAGATCTGATAACTATATCATATACGTGATAATTTCAAATCATAACAAAAATAAGTAATAACTATTAACGACGTAATATTAAATCGTTACGGTATTTGAATGTTATATTTTAACCGACTTTAAAAAGAAAGAGGTTCTCAATTCGGTAGTATTTTTTGTTAGGTGTATGTTTGTTTATAATGTTATAAACTATAGGCTTAATCCTTCTTTTTAATAAGAATACACATTTTTTTGTGATACCTGACAAATTTTGCAAATCTTTTTAATTTTATAATTATATTTTCTTAATCGTGTATAAGCATTCTAAAATATTTTCTAACAAGACTATATTTTTGTTGCTATTAGAGATTAGATAGATTGTTTGCATACAGAAATTTTTGAAATACATTGGAAAACCGTAAAACCTGTGTAAATATTACAAGTATCCTCATCAAGGGGGAGAGAGATTGTTAGTAATGCGGACTACCAGTCCCACTGCTAACAATATACTCTATCAGGTCGACCTCCACGTGGTCCCTCCTGGAAACCATCATACTGAACTCCAGATGTATTCATACCGATGGGCTAACTGGCCTGCTTAATCCTTACTTAGCATCCCTCACTGGTGCCCCGTCAGCGTATACCGTTAGCGCAGGTGGGGTTACCATTCCATTATCATCCATTAAAAAAAGTATCCTCATCATACAAAGACGAAAGTATATTTGAGTTTATTTGACTGGTTGCTTTTCAAAAGGCTAGCTCTGTTAGCTTAATAATCTGCTATATCAACGAGAGTTAGCAGTAATTTTTTTTATGAAGATGGAATAGAAACTTCGCCATCATCATCGTATTAGCCATTAATTGTCCACTGCTGAACATAAGCCTTCCTTATAAGGGGGTTTTGGCCAGTAGGTGTAGGCTTAGTAGGCGTATTGGCAACCGCAGTTTCACTTGGATGATATTTCAAGAGGGACATTACAATCCATCCTTCAACCCCTTAGTTACTTTAGTCACCTCTTACAATGTCCACGTGAAAGGAAGAGGTGGCTCATTCTATGCCGAGACCAAACGGCGAATGCGTGGACAGCAACTTCGTGAACGCTGTTGACGACTAAAAGTCCCTTAACCACTCCCCACCTATTGTTAATTATCATAAAGGCTTCTGTACCATTATCATTATTTTTTCCATGACCGCTGTTTACACTAGCGAGTCCTTCATCTCACTGAATGAACGCGGCGTCTACAAAAAGTTTCGCGATATATATTTATACGCATCCGCTGACAGTTGCGTTTGGCTTATCGATATAGTCCGTTGCGATCGAATCGGCGGTCGTCCGCAAACGGAGCCGCTTTCCTTATCGGCCCGTGTGTAACTCAGCTCGCCGGTAAAGCTGCGTGCACAGTTGCCCTATCTAATACAGATTATCGAGAACTTATGTATGGTTTATATTGATGATGATCATAATAACGCAGATGTTAATTTTATAGAATTTATGTTTCGATCGATATTGTAAATTAAATTTAAAATTATATTATATATTTTTTTTTATTTCAGCCATTAACTCTCTACTGCCAGTATTTTGTCAGTATTTGCCACGTTTGGCAGGTAGGTTGGCAACCGCAGTAAGGCTTTTACAGATGTTTTAAGAGAGTCGCAGCTGTTCATCCATTTTTTTCATGCATTTTCGGCATTTCTTAATGTATTCACGTATGATGTTCAACATAGGTCTCCCCTATAGACCGACGTATGGAATGATACTGAACTACTTGCACTCATTATTATCATGGTAAGGCGCATAAAAATATTTTGTTTACACACTGGTTACCCCATGGAGTTAAATTAAAGATACAAGTATTGTATTATAAAAAAAGTAGACAGATGCATACTGGCCATTTATATTACAGTATGCAGATATAAGAAACTACATTGTTGCATCGATTGAATCGAAAACTCCGCTTCAATTTAGATACAAATCTTATTTACCGTTTTAAAATGGTATTTTTAATTAACATTTAATGCTACGGTAACTCGAATACTTCATGCGTGCATCAAATAGAATAAATAAGATAATATACTTCAAACTAAACATGAAAATAAAAGATTTTTCTGAAGAAATAATGTGTGGAGTTTCTTGCGAGTTCTTTCTAGCAGATAACAACATTCTGATCCCAGCAGTAGAATCATAAAATGTTACAATTAAAAAGAGTTTTTAAACAAGTCAGAATAAAGATGATTTTGAATTTGAAACAATTTTAGAAAGTCTGTAGTAACGGTTCATAGTCAGTATTAATAATAAAGAATATTTGAATTTAGAATTTTAATGACAATTTAATTATCATTATAATTCGGAATTTAAATTTCATATTATTTTTTAAATCTTACACATTTTTATTTATTAGAAATATATATGGTATATTGAACGCGACTTTAGCGCTATTTAAAAAAAGCGATCAAAAAGACAGACTACCGAACCGACGCCCGCGCAAGTAGGAATCTCCTTTGTGGTGCCGACATCCTAAACAGGGAGGCTGCATGTTAAGGACAACACAGGATATATGGAAATACAGTTGTCATCATAATTTTTAGTAATATTATATAAATGTAAAAGTCTCTTTATTTATTTATATTTATTTACGAATAGTTTTGCACCAGTTTCTTTAACCTTTTGGGATATACTTTTTCTTGATGATTGAGAAAACATAATTTTTTATACCTGTCAGTCGGAGTATCCCTTACACACGTATAAAGTCGTTTGTAAATACTAGTTTCAATAGATATTAATTAACACCATTATATAGAATATTATGCATTCCTGAAGACTATGGTGTTGTGCCTTTGCACTTCAAATACAACTGTGCTCATACAGTATGATTATGTTTTAGTTTGAGGAAACACGAGTGGGACAGAGGTGCCCATGAAGGTGAGTTTTGTATAAAGTCTCCTTTTAATGTACCAAGATACGTAGAAATAGAATCATCATATCATCATTATTCCAACCTTTAACTATCCACTGCTAAACATAAGCCTTCTAGCCAGTAGTTGTTATGCTTGGCAAGTGGGTTGGCAAACTGCTGCTGCCCATATTTTACACTCCTTTAGTCGCTTCTTAGGACACCCACTGGAAAGGAAGGGGTGGCCTATTCTATGCCGGGACCACACGGCCAAGTAATAGAATGTTCTTATTAAATTATTAAGGTGGTAAAATCAAATTTCAACTATATTTTTTTATGATATGGCGAAAATTGTCCTAAATAATAATAATTTATGGTCGTCCGATTAATCTGCCAGTAATTGAGAAATCGTAAAAATTAGAAGCAATTTGCAGCGAATGACACCGTCTTTAAAACTATAAGAGTTCTTTATAGATATTAGATATAGGACTAAATCGTCTAATAATACCATAAAACGACTATAAACAGGTAAAGTCCATTAATATAGGAATTTCATACCGCAATATCTAATAACTGGTATAAAATATGAGGCTAATGTTAATAAAAAACATTTTACACTTTAATCTCTGCATATTCTCTTTATTTTATAGGTTATATAAAAAATATAATTTTTATCATTATAATTAATAATCTGAAAATTATTACCAACTATTTTGATGTCGTCTTTTCATTTATTATTGTATTTTCTATTCGCTAATAATAAAAAAAAGTATAAAATAAATATATAAGTAAATATAAAATAAGTTATGCAAAATAATTTTAAATGAAGAATGTAAGGTTTTTCATTTACATTTTTTTTTTAACTAAAATTGTTTCAACGTATTTTTATAACAAATAAAAGTATAGATACATTGCTTACATAATTAATAAAGAATATAAATATGAAAAAATAAAACGTCTAAATAAATAAATGAATGAATGAATGAGTATACTTTATTTGCATTATATAATATAAGAAAAAAATAATACAATTAATAAATATAACGAAAATGATATTAATATTTTAATAATATTTTTTTTAATTGTGCTAAAAGTTCTACCGTTTTATTTTACTACAGGCCATTTTCTTATTTCTTTTTCTTATTATTTAATTAGTAATTTAATATGATAGTACAATTGCAATAAGACATTCTAATTCCTTTTCTCATCAGATTGTAAACAATTTCCTTTAGGCACATAAAACTGTTTCTTATTCTGTAAATGTTTAAAGATTAAAATTAAATACTTACCTTCTAATATAGAATCCATTGTTTGTCTATAAAGGTTGTTCCTCATTCTCACGAAGAACATCTCCTCAGGTCTCTCCGGAAGGTAGTAGACCACCAGTTCGGTGTGTGCTGATACCGGTTTAACTGCTTCATAAACAGGCTCCCCTTTGACTTTGGTGCACACCAAATTGACCTACATGAAGAAAAAAATAGAGAACGGTTATTCTACTATAACTGAATGCATTTTAATTAAATTTGTTGTATAGTTAGTTTATATAATAATATACTGTGTATAAGTTACTGTAAAAGCCCGTGCGTTGGTAAATCTTAGATTTCACCAGTGAATTTTAGAATTTACCAACATATTGTTGGTAAATATAAGGATTTTATAAAAAAAAAAAGATAAATTTTCGGACACTTACCAAAACAACCTCTTTGACGAATACGAGCATGAATAGTAAGTACACATGTACTAAATCTAAATAGCTTTGTAACTAGTCTAGACTTTATGACTAGTAAAATAAGACTAATAATAGGAAAAAAATAGTATTTTGAAAACAGCTCTCACGTATTAATGATTTATTCGCTAGCTATGCACCTATTTTCATGATTCCATTTGCAATTGACAATATTTACTTCGGTCTTGATCTCATACTAAATTATATGCTCATTTTATACTTTTACTAAATTAATTGTAGATATGTGGAGTGGTGTGAATTAATTATGAAATAATTTTTATAATATATTATAAATTATGTAATTTTTTAACTGTACTATTCCTGGTCTTTATTTTTAACTGACTTTATTATATATTTTAAGAACTCACTTGAGGTCCATAGTTTTCTGAGACTCGAAGGAACCGAATCCAGTTGCAGTGCCGTACTTGCACTCCGCCTGAGGTACAGACTTCGTCGAAGAGGCCGAACCGATGACGTATCTGTTGACAAAAAAAAATATATTAAAAATACAAATGTAAAAATCTGGCAATAAGAAATAATTGAAAAAGTTCACAGTGAATTAATAATGGCATAGAATCTTTGTGGTTTTAGAGCAAAATACAAAAAGAATACAAGGGTATATTGGATTCTTCAGGGTCGGCAACGCGTACTTAACACCCCTAGTGTTGCAGGCGCTCATAGGCTGCAGTGATCGTTTACAATCAGACTGACTGGGGGGAAAGGGATTGTTAGCAATGGAGACTGAGAATCCCATTGCTAGCAATATACCCAACCAGGTCGAACTCCTCGCGGTTCTCCCTGGAAACTAGCATCGTTAATTCCTGATGAATTCATCATGATGGACTAACTGGCCTGTTTCCATTCTCATCTATCACCCTTCACTGGTGCTCCGCCACCGTATCCCGTTAGCGCAGGCGGAGTTACCATACCATTTTTACCCATAAAAAAAATCAGACTGACTGTATGCGTGTTTGTCGCCTTTATGGTATAAAAAGAAACAATATATAATCAATAATTTTCATCTCAAGTGTAGACAAAAATAACACTTTTTTTATGCCACTGAGGTGGCAAACAAGCTTACGGCCTGTCAGATGGTAAGCGGTTACCGTAGTCTATGAATGCCTGCAATACCATGGACATTACGCGCGCATTGCCGATCCTGAAGAACCCCAACTCTTTAATAATAACTTCATCAGAGGAAGACTTTGTACCAGTATAAAGGTTGTTTGTTTTTGTGGTATTTTGCCATGTAGCAGTTGTGCTTGCATGGTTGTTTCGGTTTGAAGAGTAGGGCAGGACACTGTAATTTTATGGTACGGAGATATAAATTCTTAGTCCTCGGGAATGGCAATCTATGACTACTCTTAGTATGATATATGATATGGGGGATATCATGGGTGAAACAGTATACTCTGTTATGTTCATAGTACTTTTTGTATCTATAGGCAATGGTTACCACACTCCATCAGGTGAGCCATCAGCATGTTTGTCGCTCCAAGATACATAAAAAAAACTATGTATAAAAATATCCAGTATGATGACAGTAGATTAATAATTATGAACATAGCAATGAAATTACGGAGTACAGATGCACAAAGGCATAATTCTTTACCTTTCAGAAATAACATCGCATAAGGAAACCATGGAAGCATAGGGCATATTTTAGGGGAGACAAGTGTGCTGTGGCCACCCCAAAATTTACTAATACGTACCTCAGAACCTAAGCAAAACTTTTAGTAATGCGTAAAGACATATATAAGAGTACATACATATAAAACTTTTATGGGAAATTGGGCTTTGAATCAATAAAACAAGCTCTCCAATATTATTTTATATTGGTGTTCTCTACTGTGCTACTAGGAAGTCAATGCAAGTCAGCTCTCTAGCGCATAGAAGTATCGTTCGAAAAAGAGTGGGGCGGTGACGTAGCAAAGTGAAAGTTAAATACATGAGTCATTCAATATCAGTCTTTAGTCAAATGAGAGATTAATTTTTGCACATCAATTTAAATAATATCAACACGCCCCCTCAAAAATTAATCTTTACTTACATTCATTATCATTAACCTTAAACAATCATATACAATCACAATTATATAATATAAACAGATCACATGTGACTTCCTAGTAATTGCTGGGAAAAATACAAAACATGGTCCAACATTTGTTGCTTTGGATTAGGGAAACCCAGAAAAACCTAATCAGACCATTAATATCTTAATAAACAAATTACAATTTATTGTTTATACATTTTACAATAATTATATAATAAATTACTCTAAGCCTATTTTGGTTCTCATTTGCTGAAAACTGATCGCTGGCAACGGCTTAGTTAGAACATCAGCTAGTTGTTGACCTGTGGGAATGTAATTTAATTTAATTACATTTTTCTCAATCTGCTCTCTGGAAAAATGATATTTAATGTCAATATGTTTTGACCGTTTATGGTTGGTTGGATTATTTGCAATACTAATGCAACCATTATTATCTTCATAAATAATAATAGGATTTGTGATATTTATATTTATGCTTATTGCCAGAGACTTAAGCCACAATGCTTCTCTAACAGCTTCATACAATGCCATGTATTCAGCCTCAGTAGACGAGGCTGCCACTGACATTTGTCTCTTTGTACTCCAGGTTATTGTACACTGCTCAAATAATTTAAATAAATAACCTGTAGTACTTTTCCTATTACTACTATCACTACCTCCCCAATCAGAGTCCACATACCCACACAAAATATTATCATAGTTGCACCTTTTATAAGTTAACTTTAAATCAATTGTCCCTTTCAAATACCTAAGTACTCTCTTTAGACATAACCACAGCTCTTTATTATTTTTATTTGTATACCTACTCAATATATTGATACTCGTACTTAAATCTGGACGAGTACATAACATGATATACATCAAACAACCTATAACGTTTCTACAAGGTGCATTATATTTATTTTCACAGTTTAATGCCTCATAATTTAACTTATTTTCCAAAGGTGTACTGACAGGCTTACAATCCTGCATATTAAATTTATTTAAAACTGTGTTAATATATGCACTTTGATCTAACGTTATTTGACCATTGTGCCTAATTATTCTGATGCCTAAAAATAAATTAATTTCATTCAAGTCAGACATTTTAAATTTACTCATTAAATATCTTTTAAATTCATTCATCATTTGAATATCAGAGCACGCTATGACTAGATCATCAACATAAAGCACCACATAAATATTTTTATTAACATTTCCTTTATCTAATACATAAATACACCGGTCGACTGATGAATTTTGAAAACCTTTTTCTTTAAGTGATTGCTCAAATACTTCAAACCAGCACCTAGCTGCCTGTTTGAGTCCGTACAATGATTTATTTAATTTACAAACGTAATTTTTGTTACAGTTTATACCGTCAGGAATTTCCATATATATTTCTTCCTTTAATTTACCATTTAAAAACGCGGTTTTAACGTCCATATGATGAACTAACAAATTAAATTGATTCGCAAAACTAATTATAAATCTAAAACTAGCAATTCTAGCAACAGGTGCAAAGGTTTCATTATAATCAGTCATATACTGTTGACTGAAACCTCTGGCAACAAGACGCGCCTTATACCTTAAAGGTTTTCCAAATTCATCATTTTTAATTGTAAAAATCCATTTACAATCTATGATATTTTTATTACAAGGCCTAGGAACTAAAGTCCATGTATTATTTGTTTTAAGAGAATTTAATTCATCTTTAATCGCGACTTCCCATTTAAGCCTATCACCACGAGTTTTAATTTCATTAAATGACTTCGGTACCTCGCAAACTATCGATTGCGCACACATTAAATAATCATTGTTGTCGTCATTTTCATTATAGGATACAGGGGTACGATTTTTAAGCCTATCACTCCTCCTAATCTAAGGTACGTATGGTACATTAATTACCTCATCACTAATTATGCGAATTTTATTAGAATTATGCTCATCAGATTTCAACACATCTGATTTAGGACTGTCAGAGTGATGATCCCTCAACGACACTGATTTAGACTGTATGTCACTTATATCAGTTTTGTCACGGGAATTTTCACCATTCCCTTCAGACTTTATAATAGGTCTGGAATTAATAAAATTGGTCTCATCCACAATGACATCCCGTACAGTAACATACTTTTCGCATTTTGTATCCCAAACTTTATAACCGTTTGGTTCATAACCCACCAGTATACCTTTCCATGATTTGTCATCAAATTTAGTTTTACTGGTTTTACTATGTACATAAACTGTAGAGCCGAAAACCTTTAAGTATTTTATTTGAGGTTTTTTATTATGCCACATCTCGAATGGAGTTTGAGTTTTCTTTAACGATCTAGTAGGTGTCAAATTAATTAAATAGACGGCAGTCAACACTGCATCACCCCAGAAAACTTTATCTAATTTAGCGCCATTTAACAAACAACGGGCTTTCTCAGTAATAGTTCTAACCATACGTTCCGATACTCCATTTTGTTGAGGAGTTCTTGGAACTGTTAAATGAAAAGTAATGCCTTTTTCAACACAATAGTTTTTCATGTCGGTAGATAAATATTCTCTACCGTTATCAATATATAAATTAACTATTTTTAAATTAAATTTTGCCTCACACTTAGCAACATAATCTTTGAAAACAGTGAACACATCCGATTTATATGTTATTACATAGGTAACACAGTAATGAGTATACTGATCAATAAACAAAACAAAATAGTTTTTGCTGTCTATAGTTGGAGGAGTGATTGGGCCACACACATCTGAATGAACGACAAATAAAGGTCGCTGTATATGACTTTTGTCCTTACTATGATTAAATGGTAGTCGAGTATGTTTCCCATTTATGCAAGCTTCACATAAATTATTGTTAGGTATTATCGATTCAATTTCTTTTATGCCTTCAACCATATTATTATCTTTTAATTCCATAAATTTATTTTTACTCATATGACCTAACCGTTGGTGCCATAATTTATAATTATTATTTTGTGCATTGCATATTTGAGAAACAAAATTATTTACTTTTGCAGGTATTATAAAATCTAAGGCAATTAAATTATTTAAAAACCTACCTTTCATTAGAGTCTTACCATCCTTATATATTTGGGTACCATCATTATCGAAAATAATTGTCAACCCGGCTTGTTGCATTTTTGAAACAGATAGTAAATTGTATGGAACTTCACGACAATAGAGTACATCTTCTAAAATGCCTGAAATACTCATATTACTGGTAACCTGCATAGTACCTTTCTTCGTAGCTGAAATAAATTCACCATTTTTAGCAATCGAAATTTTATGAGGTGGACATAAATATGTAAAATTAACAAAAAGATCATCCCTGTTAATAATATGGTCCGATGCACTAGAATCCAATAGAAATGTGATTTTGTTATTTTCTTCATAATTATTATAATCGGCGGTCATAAAAGCAAAACTAGAAAAACTTGATGA